CTTCTGGACCTGAATGCTGGACAAGATATCCTTGACTCCAAACAATATGATTGTTCTGACATTTCATCCATCCCCAATGCACTTTTATTTATATTATTTTCTTTATTTTTTTATATATATCAAAAGTGTATTGAAGTCTACAGATACATTTCTCTTTCCTGATGCAGTACTGCTTGTACATGCTACTGAAGGTAATGTCTCTGAGTCACAATGAAATGTGAAATACTTTGAACAGCCTTTTTTTCTGCTTTTAAAAGCAAACCCAAGATAAAGCATTACAAAAAAAAAACAAGCAAACAAATAAATGCTTTTTAACTGTACACAGATGAGGGAACAATCTAAAATCTCTCTTTGGTGATTAATTATATTAAAGTTATTTGTGTGTGTATCTTGAATTAGGTGCTATCAATTAGAGAAGAGAACGCTACATTCTAAGTAGTAAAGCCATTAATCTGAGAAGAATACAGAGAAAACAGAAGTAAATAAGTAATTCAAACTAATTAACATTTGTTCATGGGATATGTAGTTGTTTTTGGCTAATAAGTAAGTTTCAAATAACAAATGCTTAGCTGATTATTTTTCCTTCTTGTTGCGTTTGCCACCTGATGTTAGCAGGAGCTAGATAAATCCTAGAACTGCAATCAAAGCTAGCACAATCATGGTCACTGCAGAATGAATGAATTTCCACAAACCTGTATTAAAAGCCAGTACATTAACTTTTTCTACAAAAACAAAGACATTGTATCTTATTACCAAACAAGGAAAGGAGGAAAAACATTTGTCATTGCAAACCTCTCACCAAACTGAGGAGTTGAAGAATTAGCAGTGAAACCATGAAGCCTTTAACCTGTGGGTAGCTGGACTGAATGCCAGGCTAACTAAAGAAAGCTGCTATTTTTCCTCCCTGATACTTAGCTACTGATGTAAAACTGATTTGCACTGTCCAGCAGTTTGTTAATTTCCAGTCTTGGTGGCTTACCGTGCTATGAATTATTAGGATGGCTTCTATCAGCTTTTTTGTAGTGATTAAAGTAGTTAGCACTGCCTATCCTCTTTTTCTTTCTGATTATGGCTCAATGGGGCATTCTAGTGTAAAAGAAAAATGGATTCTGTGTGCAGGGTGACACAGTGGCTGCAATAAAAAGTGACAGAAATTCGTAACACCACTGCTATTGGAGAGGATGAAATGGCAACTCAGAGAGTCAGTAAGTAAAGGAGACAAGATTCAGCATACTCAGGGGCTAGAGACATTAAAGGAATCCTATAGAGGAAAAAAAACATCCCACAACATTTTATGGTAAAAATGGCACAGTAGATACTATGGGTAACTGCGTAGAACAGTGTGCCAACTGGAAAGGCAACAGTGGAAGGACCAGAAAAAGAGTGTCTGCTGCAGGAAGGATCAGCTTTCAGAGATGTGTTTTACAGAAAGAGGTGGTAAGATTATTTGGACATGGACTGGATGTAAACGAGTTAGAGGAATTGTCTCCAGACTGTGGACTAAGAGAAGAGAGTATCTATCAGTTGCAGTCGGTATGTAATACTGGAAGGGGTGAACTAGCGGTCAGGGAGATTTAGCTCATTATTTAAATGAATATGGACAAAGTTAAGGGTGGTGCTCACACCGGGACACTCTGTTTTCCCAGGCCATATACATATGCATAGAACATTGGCTGTGTACCTTCAGTGCACCTTTAAATAAGCAGTGTGTTTTACAGAGTGTGTAGTTACAGCAAGGTAACTCTGAAGATAATTCTGCAGTGACAAGTAATCTAGTGAGGTGAGCATTGTGTAAAGGTAGAGTTATAGCATTAGAGTATAATGGTACAGCTACAGCTACTAACAGGGCTAGGAAAGCTGTATGGTGGTCTCGACTTCATTTTTAGATTCAACGAGTACCAACAGATCTGGTACACAGGAAAAGAAAGGAAACAAAAAATCCTGAGCAGTGGTGGAAGGATTTCTTGATTATAGACACAACATACAAGTTAAATGCTAGCAAGAATTTTCTCTGAGATATCAGAGTAAGAAGACTAATTTTTTTTATGGCTGAATGCTGTAGAATATATACGGAAGTGCACAAAATGAAAATGCTTTTGAGAAAAGCTTCTGTGGGTGCAGCTTGAGCCTGCAGAGCTTTGTCAGGGAGCCAATCACTGCCATCTAACGGTAAACTGGAGAAAGAGATAAATTGCACTGCAATCTTGACCCAGTCTGAGTGTTTTGGTTACAAAGATGGTTTGATGTAATTAATGTAGAAGTCATTAACATTGCCTTTATTTTTTTCTTTTTGGTCATCAAAATATGCACTTAATAACCTAGGTTGGGAGTTTCCAAGACCCCACAAAGCTGGAGTGTAAATCTTAAGGATGAGGGTTTTCATGGCCCTTCTAATGGCAGCACAGAGGAACCTGGTGACAAGGCGATCGCACGACACTGACGTTCCTTTACAGCCCAGGGCAGAATGGATCCTGATGATAACCTTGGCAAGGGCTGGCATCATGGCAGAGACAAAGTAGTAACATGAAGTATTCCTAAGTAGAACAACTGCAGCAGTTGTTGTTGTAGCTAGACTGGGAGATGGAGCAAGTGTGACAGAGGTGATGTCCAGTTTGGAGCTGTGCAATGGGGAGATAAACCAGGTGCATGATGCCTGCTCTTGGCTGCCAAGTTACATTTTCTCTGTGAGTGAAGAGGGACCTGAGAGCAATAAAATTCACATTCTGAAGACTGTAAGTCTTACAGGAAAGGGTGTTGAGCAGTGACTTAATCGCATTCTGGATTTGCAATGGGCCTCTATATCATCATATTTGAAAGATATAGAAGATAAAGGCACTTCAGACAAGTTCTTTAATCCTACATGAGTCAAATCACATTTTAAGGTTCTGAAAAGAGCAGATTGAATGGAAAATTGGCTGTTGTTTTTGTTTTTTTGTTTTTTGTTTTTTGTTTTGTTTTGTTCTGTTTTTCCATTGGAGAGCTAGAAACTCTGCTCAGGGAATCTCTGCTGTTTAGAGATACATTTTCTGTTCTGACTCATATGTCACTATGAGTGCAAGAAAGTGGCTTGTACTTGATTTTTTTCCTTGATAATGATGTATGTATATTTTAAGATGCCTGGATGAAAAGTACAAAAAAACTAACAGCTGTATTCCCTACTGAGACTGGTCAGAATCTCTCTGACCTGGGCAATGGAACACTCAAAACAAAGATGTAAAGATATTTGCAGCTTCCTTTCCAATGAGGCTTTCAAGGAGGGAAATAACTTTCCATAGAACTGCTTTGCTACAAAATATCCCTGACATAAAAATCTCTCCTTCAAAAATTTAATGGCAAAACTTAGGCAGGTGTTAAAACTAAGCTGTCAACTATAATGCCCATGCTAATTGCACAGCTGCCATGCAACAGTACCCCCACACCACTTCCTATACTTGCTGATAACTTTCTAAGAGAGGATTGCTTTGCCAAGTGAGGTGAAGGGCCTTTTAAAGTAGAAATTCAAAGGTGAAGTGCTTTTCCATCTGCCAAAATTACCCCAAACTTTGCACAGCTCTTTGCATCAGGGCAAGATGCTGTTGGTTGGATGTGACTGCACTCTGTACCCATCTGGTATGGATAAGGAAAATCTCACAAAGGCTGAGCAGCTGAAAAGTGGTCAGGAGGAGAGGTGCGAGTGAGGTGTGGCAGAGGGATGGACCTGGCTAATGGCTGAGCTGCAAAGAGAAGGGATTCTGGGTAGCCATTGGTGGTGGAGGTGTGAAAAGGGAAATGCAGAGCAAAGGAAAGAAACGAATCTAAAGACGTGAGAATCCCAAAATATGGTGTGACTGGGATTAGATTGTCATTGTGCAAATGAATCAGCGGGCGAGAGACTTGGACATCTGCTGGAGGCATTTCTCTTGGGAGAGGTTTCCATTTCCCGTTTCCTGGCTTGGGAATGCAGGCAGAGGGGCAGAAAGCACACACTCTGGCCCTTAACACTGAAGTCCCTGTGGTTTGGTCGTGCGGTGACAGAAAGCAGCTCTGGAAATGACAGATGAGAAAATCCAGCATCTTTGGTTTTACATGGAGAGGTTTTGGGGCAGGAGGAGTACTCAGACCTAAATTAGTAATTTATTTCTGCACTTTCAGCAGTTGTTGTAAAGGGAAAATTATAGATATGTTGTAAATATAATTAAAAATAAATATATGTGTATATATACACACACAGGAAAAATATATCATTCTGGGAAGGCTCTTCACTGGAGGGCGGTGGGCATGGTGAAGGCTGCCCATAGCAGCAGGCACGGCCCCAAGTGCCAGAGTTCACAGAACACTGGGACAGCACTCTCGACACGGAGTTTGATTTTGGGCGGCATGGTGTGGAGCTGCTTGGGTCTCATCCAACGTGGGATATTCTGTGATTCTAGGACACCAAACGGGACGCGGTCCGTGCCAGCCTGGGTGCGACGGCAGATGGCCGAGGCCAGGCCTGCCTCTCGCGAGAGCAGCTCCCTTTCCAGACGGCTGAGGAGCCAGCGGAGCCGGGGGATCCTCCGAGTCCCTGACGCCCGGCGGGCCGAGCGGGCACAAAGAGGCGAAACGGCCCGTTCCCCGCCTTCCGCGGCAGCCAGCCGGGCCCCGGCAGAGGGCGCCGAGCGCGGGCTGAGGCGACTCCGCCTCCGGTCTGCCAGCAGCGGCGCAGGGACGGCGGCGGCGGGCCCGGGCCTGGGGCTCTGGGGTACTCAGGTAACCGCGGCGGCCTGCCCTGCTGCGAGGCTCCCTCCGGAACGGGGCGGCGCGTCGCCGAGGCCGCGGGGCGGAGGGAAGCGCGGGGCCGCCGTGACCCCCAGCGACGGGACGGGCCGCGGTCGGGCCTGGGCTGCACGGCCTTCGCCGGGACGGCGGCCGAGGGCGGCCGTCAGCGACGGGGCCTGGGCCGAGGTGATGGCCGCCCTGGGCCGGCCCTCAGCTGCGGCAGCCGCCCGCCTGGAGCAGTGTCTGCGGCCCTGCGCTGCTGGGAGCTCCGCTCCGAGCTCAGCGCTGTGCCCGGGGCGGGTGGCGGCCGCGGAGCCGCCCTTGGCTCGGGGTTTGGCAGCTCCTGTGCCCCCGGGGCGGGTTTGGATCGGCGGCTTAAAATAACAGCGATCGCTTCAGAGAACTTTTAGCAGTTTGTCCCCGGCTTGAGGAAAGGCGTTAAGTCTTCAGGGAGCGGCACACCGTCCTAAAATTTTCAATTGTATGCCTACTAGTTGTAATTGCTGTGGTGTGAGCAGAGCCGTGGGGGTTGTGGCTATTTTTCTGCCACCAGTAGTCACAGACCTTTCACTACTGCAGCTGACTGCACAGGAATCCCATTCTGCTTTCAGCAGAGTTCACTCTGGTATCAGGAGAACAGCCTCTGGTGTCATGCAGTACACACACAGCTGTACAAAAGCCAGCATCACATCTGGCTTAGAGAGGTGCCCCCAGCTGAGGGGTGGGCCTCAAAAGGAGCATCACCAGGGCTGCTGGCCCCAGTCCTGTTGCGGTGTGCAGAGCTGAGCTGCTTCTGCTGGAGTGCTGCGGTGGTGCTCGTTCCCACTTGGAGCACTTTGCAGCCTTCCCTCAGCCAGGAGCATGGTCTGAGCAGAGCCTGGAGTTTAGAAACCTTCAACTCTTGGGGTTTTTCTTACGGCATCGAACGAATTGGTTGCTTTCACCAAGGAGGAGTCATAGCAGGCGTAACTCTCTCTTTGCTTTATATGAAATATCACACAGAATCACAGAGTGGCCCAGATTAGAAGGGACCTCAAGGCTCATGAATCTCCAATCCCCCTGCCACATGCAGGGCCACCAACCTCCACATTTAATACTAGACCAGGTTGCCCAGGAATCTGGCCTTGAACACCTGCAGGGACGGTGCATCCACAACCTCTCTGGGCAGCCTGTTCCAGCACCTCACCACTCTCCTAGTAAAGAACTTCCCCCTGACATCCAACCTAAATCTTCCCTCATATAATATATGAAATAGCTACCTGGCTGCTTCTTTTACGAATGGTGTGTTAAATGGAGGGAGGAAAATGCCACAGGTATGTTTAAACAGTTAATATTAAACTGCAGAAGAGGAACAGAGTATTCTATTCCATTGGGGGTTTCAGCGCTGGCTTCTGTCTGATACTTTACCTCTCGGTAGCGATGTGCAGTGTGTGAGAAAACACAGCAGGATGCCCACTGCGTTTAGATGGTGCACTGTGCAAGGGAACTAGATAACCATCTGTCTGTTTGTTTTAACTGTTGTGCTGTCCCTGGAGAAATCCTTCCCAGTAGTCAAAGCGCTTGCTTGTTTTTAACTATGAATGCTTATTTCATTTTAGGGTGTACTATGACTGGCTTCAGGCTCCCCATCACTGTGTTTAGAAAACTGAATGTTTGGGTTGGACTGTGGGAGAAATTCCCCTCTAATAAACTCTTTCCCTCTTGGAGAAGAAGCATTTTCTGTAGCTGTCAGGCAAGCACAATAAATGACCGAAGATGGTTTAGCTTTTTCCCAGTAAAACTCTGCACACTAAGACTTTCTCCAGAGTATGTCTCAGTACTCTCTCTGCGGAACAAAAGTAGCAAAAGCTCTAAGAGGAACAGACAAACTGTACAGGAGGAGGAGGAGGAGGAGGAGGAGGCAGATGAACAAGAAAGTGATTTGGAAGATGAATTGGAAAATGACCCCAACGTAGTAAAAGATTACAAAGATCTTGAAAAAGTGGTGCAGTCTCTACGATATGACGTGGTCATGAAAGCTGGCTTAGACATTGCAAGAAAGTAAGTATGAAAAAGAACCTGCTGGTGAGAGAGATGGCATGTAGATAACACCGGCGGTTTGATCCCCTTCATTGTTAGAATACCCACTTTTTAATATAGCTGTTTTGAGTTGGGATATCTGGGGTGTTGTTGTTTGTTTGGGGCATTTTCTATCAATTACCATGTATTTAAAATGAAGAAAACGTACTAAGTAATGCAAAAAGATCTAATTTGAGACAGAGGGAATAAATAACATGCTATTTAATGGCTGTAGAAATAGATGAGGGTAAGGTCAATCTAACACACCGGGTCAGCCAGATATGTACACTCTACATCAATAAGTCTGATCTTGAACCTATAAAAGCCTTACGTTGCAGTGTTGTTACTATAATTTGATCACTTACAAACAATTGAACTGGCTGGTGCAGGACGGAGGACTTCATTTGTTGGGTATTCAGGAGACAACTCTTCAGAAACAGCTTTTTATTTCTTTTACCTATAGCACAGAGCACCCTCTGTCTACTATTTCATTTACCGTCTGTGAAAGATTTCTTCCAGTTCAAGACTGTCCTGCCCTAAAATAAGTAATCCTTTATGTGCAAATTAGAGTTGTGGAAATATGCCTTGCATGTGAATGGTTTTCTTGTGTGTTTGCAAGTGAACAGTTGCATTTTGTTCTGCTGCATACTGTCAATGCAATAAAACCTTGTTTTTCTTCAGTAAAGTAGAAGATGCATTCTACAATAATGAACTCAGGCTGAATGGAGAAAAACTATGGAAGAAAAGTAGAACTGTAAGACTCTTTAACATTTAAATATTTTAATACAGTACAAGAAAATAACTAAACTGTGAGCTCTTCTCCTTCCTTTTACTTGGGGCAGAAGCAGCAGCCGCTAAATGGCTCTGCCATTTAGGTGAAGGGCATTGCTAACACCACTTCCAGCTTTCTCTGTGTGTGACTGCTATTCCTGGGGTACGGTGCTGCTCCCTAAGGCAGATGGGTGACCTGTGGTATTGAAGTGGGCTGAAAGCAAGGAGAAGGCAGGTGGCAGCAAGGACAGAGCTTTATGTGTTGCTGAAGGAAGCGATGATAGATACGAGGTTGATGGATTAGGAGTGATTAAATCTGAGGTATTAGTGGAGTAGGCACATGGTTAAAGTTTGATGATAGAAAGGGACTGAAACTGAGGTAGCCCAGGAAAGGTTATTTTGTCTGTGAGAGAGCACACAACACACACACAGCCAAAGGGTTGCAGGCTCAGCTGGCCAAGTTCTTTCACAACAGAGCTCACCCAAATGGTGACCAGCATACCTCTACGTTCCCTTCAGGTGAGGGGGATCAGGTGGCATTACTGTGGTGAAAAGGCAGGAAGGAGAGAAGTTTTAGTTCCCATTCCCCTCAAGTAAGGGCTCGTTTTTAAAGGCATACTGCTGCTGTGGATTTTGTGAGGGGACACAGACTGTTGACCCGCGCTGTTCTTTACAACAGTTTCAGGCGTTCTAAAGGAAGGAGGAGAATTTTGCATTTGGCTGCTTTGTGTCTGTATTGATAGAAGAAGATTGGCAGGAAACCCTATTTGGTAATAAACCTGTATGATAGCTTTTCCAGAGTTAGGCATTGGCTGTAATTTAGTAAGGGCAAAACTCCTGGCAGAGAAGGTCATGAGGAGACATTTAGTTGCTTATTGCCAGGGCTTTCCTAAAAGCTCACAGTGGAAGGACGGCTCTGTAGTGGGTCTGGTGTAGCCTTCCCACTTCCTCCCCCCAGAGATTCAGGAGAACAAATGGCACGAAAGGAGCACCATTAATGTGGCCTCGACTGTGGGAATTTGTTTTCTCCAGAGAATGCTTACAATTGCTCATCTCCTCTTTCTATTTCCAGGTGAAAATTGGTGACACGCTGGATCTCTTAGTAGGTGAAGATAAAGAAACAGGAACTGCTGTAGTGATGCGGGTAGTCTTAAAAAAAGTATCTAACAAGACTGAGAGTGAAAAATACAGAGTAATTTTAAGACGTTGGAAAAACTTGAAGGTGCCCAAACAGGACGTACTGAAGTAGCGGGGAGATGCATGTGGCAGCATGAGATTTGTTTTGCAGAAAACCATATTGTTTGTTGTTAAATACGAATTTTGGTTAAACAAAATGACAGTACCCTTTTTTAAGGGCTCGTGTTAGAAATATCTCCCTCTGCTGTGTACATCAATGCTCTGTGGTAAATGCCTGTCACTTCTTGCAGTTAGTTTTGTTTCATGATACTGTGGGATAAAATACTCTGCCCTCATATCTCCAGGCAGTTTCCTTACAGACGTTATATAAAATGACTCAATAAAGACAAATTTGATCACTGTTTAATTGCTGCCTGGTTTCTGTTAATCAGGTTATGTGAAAGCTGACGCCACAAGCAGCACTGCTTTCTTAGCTTTATTTCTAGATTCGTTACATAGTTTGGTTTTTTTTAATATTACATATACGTATGCGTAAAATTGCTTCCTTTTTAATTACTGATTTGATCCTGGTTAACAGTACCAACTCTGTGCTTTCATACACGTTGATGCAGTATAGAAAGATACTGATTGCAGCAGCATGTTCTTAAGCAGGAAACTTCACAATGACCGAGGATTTGTCAAGGCAGAGATCCTCTCTTCTCTCATGAAAAAGGTAGCTCAGGCAGGAGGCACACAGTTAACAGAAGAAAATGAGATCTTGGTTTTTTATTGCATACTGATGTCAGCGTGGCATTTAAAAGAGTATTTATCACTTAAGTGGCTGTAGAGATCTGATTGATCAAAGATCAGACAACACTGTGATTAGAAGTACATGCCTGTATTACAGCAGCAAAGTGCAGCCTTGGAGCTGGCGTCTTGGGTAATCACCCACACTTGTAATGTTGATCATACTCTTTTTCAACAGAAACAACAAACTCTATGAGCTATGTGGCATAGACGGAATTTTCATGTTTATAGGTGTTTAACATCTACACATCCAGGTGGTGTGTGTGTGTGTGCAAGGTGGGAGCATTCATTCAGCCCACGGTCTGTTCCCTACCAAGTGAGAAGAGCCCAGAGGTGAGAGCAGCCCAGATCAAGCAGCAGAAGCACACAGCAGTCTGCTTTTCCTTGCATGTTCCTGATATCTAAGTGGGCAGGCAAGAAGTTGTTGCTCACAAAACAAATGTAAGGTATCAGGCTATCACATGTATCTGGTACACAGTGATAAAGCAATGGCTGGATCCAATCCAGAAGGCTCTGCCTAGCACTGTCAGATTGCCCATACAGAACCATGGCACTGGCACGGCACCAGGATGACCTGATAGCTTTGCGTGCTTCCCACACTGCAGTGTGTGCTGCAGGGAGGCCAGCCTGCCTTGCAGAGCAGGATCTCTGGTCATCCATGGGAAGACAGCAGGGAAATGCTCACAGAACTGGGCTGCTTCTGCCACCTGCATCAGTTTCTCAGTTCTAATTGTCTACATAACAGAGTGATTTTAATCACTCGCTTTCTACTTGCTCCACAAAAGAAAAGGCAGTTATTTTTTCCATAGGGACAAGAGTAGCACCAGAAGCATTCCTGGTTTCTGTTAGCTTCTGCAATGGCACACCAGAACCTCTAGCTTCTGTGAATTAATTACAGTGTTCAACGTGATGGTTGGTCTGCAACAGCCCTCATGGGGAAAGGGGTGTGGAGAGTCTGTGTATATGGTGGGAGAGCAGCACAAATGTGAGTACTGCTGAAACTTAAAAATCTTCATCTCAGTACTAGAGCATCCAGTGAACCTATAGACAAGCACTCCAAGGAGAACATGGGTTCTTAAATTATTGAGAGGGAACATAAGAGAAACAAGGGGCAACATTATCTGCCACAGAAACAGACTCCTGGATTTTCCATACAAGGAGTAAAACCTCAGGAATAGGATGTGATCCTATCAGTGACTCACTCCTGCTGCTCCCACACACCTCAGCATTTTCTTTTCACAGGAAAGCTTTGCAGACCGTGCTAACACACCGCCTTGGAGCTAACTGAAGTCACACGCTCCTGAAAGCATCATGATGGGTGGAACGCTTTGCCTTCTGAGGAGCTTCAGCACCAAGGCACAACACCACAAAGCGTGCCTGGAAACGGTGACAAACCGCTGTTTCACCATAATGAGATTTGTGAAGGAAATGGGGAATGATTATCTGACATTTGTGTGTGGGGGGAGATATTAATGAGGTGATCTTCCTCCAGCCTTTGACAATCACCATTTGTTTTGCTTACATCTATTAATGCAAATCTTAGAGCAACTGGACATGTGGTGATTTTGCCCCCTTTGTTTTTTTTAACTGATCGTGCTTTACTTTTTTTTTTTTTAAACTGAAAATTGTGTTGTTTTTTTTTTTTTAATTAGTCACATTTATCTTGTGAGGGGGAAGATTGGGGCAGGGAAGCATTCTCCAGAGCACCTTCATTTAATCTCTGTTACAGCTCTTTCCATAAGAACCGAGGGCCTTTCAGCTTGCCATTAATGAAAAGAAAAACGCTCAGAGGGGACTGCAGCCTCATCATGGAGTGAATCAGGAAGGAGAGCAAGCAGCAGCCTGCCCACACCACAGGCTTCTCCTGGTGCGATCAATAACCAGCAGACACCATTCAGAAAAATGACAAAAAGGGATATGCTGGATGGAAATGATACAGCATGGGGGTAATGCCCTGCTCATCAGACAAGCTCAAGGAAAGTATTCCAGATCTGAGGGGATGCTGATTTGGAGTTTGCTTCCAGCATTCTGCTGCAGGAGACCACCTCTCAGAGCAGTGCTTACACAGAGATGACCACGAGCATCGTGTAGCCCATAAGAAATTAAGACCATCCCTACTGGTGGGAAGTTAACATGAACAATTTCTGTAACAGGGAGGGTAACGGTGAGGTAACACTGCAAACATTAGGTATTTGTCATGATTTCTGCTGGGACAAGAAATTAGATAGGAAGAACAAAGACTTGTGGATGGGGACTTATTTCTTTTTCTCAGCCTTACCAAGGACAACCCTAAAAGAGGGCACTAAAGCATGTCATTTCAGCAACTCATTTAAACAACTCCAAGTGCATTCCTCTTTCCCAGAATATTAGCAAGGTAAAAAACCTTGCAAACATACCTGCATTGGTGCCAACTGAATGGCCAGAACAATCACAAGAAAAACCCACGACGTCAGAGATGAAGAAGCTTTAGCAGTGACATTGGCAGAATTAGATTTACTCTGGAAGGCCATAAATGTGAACCTGCCCCATTGCCTTACCACGGATTTCAAATGCAATCAACTGAACTGTGCACTGTAAGTGAGAACACCTGTCAGCCCATGCCATTACCTCAGCACAGGCAAGCTCCAGACATTGCATTTTCCAGCTGTTTCACAACCCTTTAATTGCTGAAACAAAAGCTAAATAACCAACAGAGCCTACACTTTATTCTCTGTCTCCTGGGGCTGTAGAATTAATAATGCTCCTTCCAGCATAAAATTAGTGTGCCTTTGTAGAGCGTTGAGGATGCAGTTCTGTTTCCCACTGCTATACATAAATAACAATTCACAGAGATGAATGACACTCAAAAATGTATAAATGTACTATATATATCTGAGGGCAGGAAAAAGAGGTGCAAACATTTTCTAGAACATGAAACATTTGGTGGCTGTAATGTATAACAAAGTGGTTGTCTTCGTAAGTCAGGATCCTTCTCATTTCAAACCCTGTTACCTAAGCCAGCTGAATGCACTTAATAGGCAGAAAACAAACATGCTTGATCTCCCTTTTGATGTTTCGTTTTACATCCTCTACAGAGCTTCTAAGAAAAGGTTTTAATTTGTGCAGGCTAGGAAAGGCAGAACAATATAGAGCTGAGGTGTATTAATGTTCCTTTCAGGCTGTTAGAGGCGAGACATTCAAGCTGTATGTTGACAGGGACACGATACTTGCCTCAGCAGGGTGTACTGACCTGATAGGCAGAAGGCAACGCCGGTCTATAGGAAGTCAGTGTATGTACATTGCAGACATCTTCACACCTAGCAATCTTCCTGCTATTTTGAAGGGGGCAAGTTTGCTCCTCTACACAAAAGCCATCTGAAAGGCAGAAAAAATGGCTGCAGCAAAGCAGGGAGTTTTCGTTTATGTCTACAGTCTGACTTGCTAAGATTACGCAGGATCTTAGTTACAGCCTCTATAGGAAAAAGAACATGAATCTGTTCGTGTCACTGTACTCAGGAAATCACCAGACAACATTCCTCTTGTATAAAAATAATATACCTTTAATTTATTTACAGGACAGACCGACTGGATGAAGTGGCTGTACTTCAGATGCACTGCAGGAGCTTTTTTTTTTAGTGACCCCATGTCACTATTTGTATGTCTCTATTTTCTTCACAAAGCATACAGTCAAATCATGGAAGATTGGGAACAGTGAGACAAAGGAATGTACACAGCCATTAGACATAAGTTAAGAGAAAAAACAGCGAGGATCTTTCTGTACCCACTTTTGAAAATGCCATTTTAAAAGCTGAAAATGGCTTTTTCACTCATCAGTATGTAAGATAAACGGGCTGATTTTTGACGTGTCAGGAGATATTGCAAAATGACAACATCTACAGTAAAACCCAGTACGTCTTGAATTCACATGCTAGCTAGTAACACCTGCCAGTGGTACAACAGTTCAACGTTATCGACTTCTTTGGGAGCTTCAACATCACTGAGTGGTAAAACACATATGACATCAAGATAAGAAAAAATAATTATAAGGGAAAGCCACACTTTGCATTTCTTGCCATCTGGTGGGGCATTCACAACAGGTTGTTGATATTTTCTGTGATTTTACATCTCCCATACAAATGCACGTAAAAGACTTCACAGAGGTGCTCGGTAGCATACAGTTACATTAGAAGGTCTCAGTTTCTGGCACATTCAATTTGCTAAATTTATGCACTGAAATGAAAGATAAGATGCAGACATTGTGGTATCAGTTCTTCGTCTTTGGTAAAACGTTTTCTTTTTATTTTAGCCATATTAGCTCCAATATCCATCCTGTGCGTGGTCTGCTATTATTTCAACCAGCGGGAAACATTTAGATGGATACAAACAGTATCAGTGTATTGTTTAATACATTCATGACTTTCTTCATACATTCTTTGAGAATGTTGCTAGCACGTGGGGAAAATGAGCAAATGCTAATCTGTTATGATTTACTCCTGGTTTAACACACTATCCTTTTGCTAGTACCCACCATTAGGAAAAAAATGTTATTTTGCTTTTTAAAGGGAGAGATCAATATGACTCTAGGAGCAATAAATTCTAAAAATCTGAAGTAAAAATATCAAGTATTTTGTATTTTCTTACAAATGCTAAAATAGAAAATCACACTGGAACAGACTTCAAATTCGATACTATGACCCACTTGGGAACCATTAAAAAGGACCACAGAGAACATTAACAACTGCTCCGAGGCGTTCCAGTGACGGTCAGTACGCAGTCGCTGACTCTACTGACTCAAAAATACATACCTGACACTCTCTCATCATTTACATCGCCATTAAAAAAGAAGAAAGCTGTTTTAAAGCTGTGCTCTCCAGTGATAAATCATATAGTAGAGTCACAGTGGGTTCTGGGTGGCTTGTGTTAAATATGAACATATTATTGATGCAAACTTGCCCGTATAAATCTAAGTTATACATACACAATTATGTCTCCAAATAGCTACTAATTACACTAAATCAGTTTGGCTAAGTGAGCGAGCTCAATATCCCTACATCTGAAAAATCCAGACGGTGCTACGCTGATGCAAAGAATGATGCAAACAGCTCATTCACGGGGACCCTGTAGCACTTCCTTCCATCCCAAAACTAATCTTTGCGGGTACCTTTTATTTATGCAATTTGATCTTAATAGTGGAAACCTTTGGAATCATCATTTTGATACAGTAAGATCTAAAAGTTTTTAAAGTCCTTGTTGCTTATCTAGTTACTCTTGTTTTACAGAGAGGCAAGCAGGCAGGCAGGCAATGGCAATACATTCCACAGGTGCTGGCTTGGGTCTGTGCTGCTGGCTCTGCTCTCACAAGCTACCTTCAGTCACGCCAACCGCGACACTGAGCAAAAAAGAAAACTCACAGGGGCATGATCAAGCTTGGCGTGCCAACGTAAAGAAACATTCACACTGTGTCTATGCTCACGTCTCAACTCTTCAATACTTCAATTCTTAGAATTTTTAGAAACACAACATGAGTAACAGTCAAAAACGGAAATCACACCGCTCTGACCCATTCTTGGACGTGGCATTACTATTTTCAGTATCTCAGTATCAATAAGAACAAAACACATTAAAGCTGTGATTTACTTAGAAGCAAAGTCAGACATTCCAGTGATTTCAATGAATATGGCACTTTCAAAAAGCATTAGTTTTGTAGATTTCGATGAAGTTTAAATTTCAAACTCCAAATGAACCAACATAATTGTGTATAAGGGTGAAATGAAATACTGCCCCTGACAAACACCACATTTAAAAAAAACCAACTTTATTATTAAAAAGTGTTAAAAAAGGGGGAAGCAGAAATGGGGAATGGCATAGTAGAGTTTCAATACATGTACTTGCACCAGTGAAAGCCATGCTCTTAATGAGTCATTATGAGCTCTGTCACCAACGACGTAGGATCTTTTCCCATGTACAAACCTAGTAAGCCACTTCCCACTGCTGCAGTACCCACATAGATGCAACACACACGTTAAAATGCAACAAACTTAGTGCCTAGTTCTCCCAGATGCTGAGCAGCCCCAGCCTGACGGGCCCTTCAGCCTAAAACAAAGCATAATCCTGACAATAATTTAGTGGTCAAAGTCTTCGGAATTCAAAGAGCCCCTCACTTCTTTGCTTTCTTTGCTTTTTTCAGTATGTCACACTTTTTTCTGTTAGGACGCCGGCATCTTTCATCAATGCTCGGTATACATTCATAATGCCATACTTCTTCCATTTTCTCCACGGGGTAAACTGCTTCCACGTAATGGCGGATCAGCCTCAGTCTGATAGGGTCCAGCTGTTTTTTGTTACAAGCACCTGAATGGTTGTATTGCAGTCTGAGATTTTCGGGAGTAAAGAGTTCTGGGAAGAGTCTTACGAGAAGCCTGGCGGCGAAGTTTCCAACAGAAAGGCTCTGCTGTACGATCTCTCTTACCTCCTTATCAGTCAGCAAATACGGAGAAGGCACAGGGAAGTCTGGGTTAGGAATAACGAGTTCATCAAGTGGTATCTTGCAAAAATCCTTGCTGCTCCTTTCGGGGGGCAGTGGCGGCCCTTCAAACTCCTCTCGAAACCTTTCGGGGTTTATTGCATAGCTGAGGAACTCCCTCCTCTCGGGCCCTGGCATGTGGACCTTCCGCTGCTGCTGGTACGAGCGCCGTTGCTCTGTGTCCCTTCGCCGACACCTCTCATCGAGCTTCCCAACAAACTCCAGCATCCACACTCTGTCATTCTTTGCCCTTGGGTACAGTATCTGCACGTAATGCCGAATTAATTTAATTCTAGTGGGATCAAGCTGCTTCTTCCCCAAAGACCCACTACAGTTGTATTGCTTCCGTAAGTTTTCATGAGTAAACAGCTCAGGAAACAAGAGAACAAGCAGCCGAGAAGCAAAGTTGCCTATGGAAAGACTGCTTTCGTAGATGTTTTTAATCTGTTCTTTGTTCAATAGGTAATCGGGAACAGGGACATCAAAATCAGGAGGGGGAAAGTCAAGTTTGTCAAAGTCAATGGGCACAAGCCATATTTTTTTTGAGCGTCTACCTGGTTTTTCATATTCAAAGCTGTCTTCCACTTTTATGATCGATACGTCATCCGGTAAACTGGAAGAGTCGTAACAGTCATCTCTCAGCTGATCACATTCACTTCCATCCATATATACATTTTCAAGTTCTTCATTTATTCGCTGAACGCATTGCTGCAACCAAGCTTCCTCTTCTTGTACATCTGGAAAGTAAATTTCAGTGTACCTACGGATTATCTGAAGCCGATGAGGATCAAGCAGTTGCTTCCCAGAGTCCCCATAGCAGCTGTACCTTTCGGCTAATTTTCTGTGGTCAAAGAGTTCTGGGAACAGTCTATGTAACAAAAAAACACAAAATTCCCCCGGAGAAGAAGCTTCATCTAAAAATTCATTGAGATCCTGAGCATCTAGAATGTAGTCTGAGGCAATGGCATTACTCCTGTCCAAGGACAAAGCTTCTTCTTGCTCTTTATCCTCAAGAAAATGAGAGGAATCCACCTGTTCAGTCTCGTAAAAACTGGAGGACTGCACATTCTGTGGGTTGTTTTCCAATTCCCTTTGAGCCCAAAATCTATTGAAAAAATCATTCAGTTGAGGCAAACACTCCACCTGCCACACAGCTGTACTCTTCACAGAAGGATAACAGACTTCCACATAGCTACGGATAAGCTGCAGATGGAGAGACTCCAGCTTCCTCTTGTTAGGAAAGCCACAGGCACTGCAGCTCCTGTTGAACTCGTCGTCGCTGAAGAGCTCTGGGAAGAGTTGTACCAGTAAGCGACAGGCAAGGTCTCCACCTGATGTGCTTTGATCCATGAGCTGTTTGAGCTCAGCAGAAGTCAGCGTGTACTCAGGGGGAGGCTTGAAATCTGCCACACACTCCACTGGACTGACTTGCTTTTTGATTCTGCTCACCTCCAGAGACAGAAGGTCAACCTTATTGTGAAGCTGGGTCATATTGGAACTGAGAGTGTTAAGTGTGAAGAACATTTTCTGTATCAAAGAATATATATTTGGGTCAGACTCGACAGCAACAGCCGCTGCAGCGAGGGCTGCAGCAGAGTCCCTTTTGCGCTGGTCATTCAAAGTCCGAAGATGCGAGGGACTGCTGGGGCTGATTTTTTCATACAAGTCATAAGAGGCAAACTGCTCTGCTCCCGGTGCATTCTTTTTCTCTGTAATTTTGTGTGAGATGCCATACAGGGGTTTCTTGTAAGATGAAGTGGTTACGTCGCTGAAGGGTTCTTCCTCACAGAGCCACGTTATATTAGGATTCTTGTTCTTGCTTGGCTGCTCTGCATTTACCTGAGTGGGTGAGCCAGTGTCTCTGTTCTTCATGTTTGAATTGGAGCCCTTTGAATGAATAAACATTGTATTAGTAAGACTGCTTTAAAAATATCAGTTATAGATGTTTCCCCCTTAAGCAGGCATTGTTACATAAAAGTTCAAGGTCAAACTGTCTCTAGAAGATTCAGTTGTGTTACATACATCAAATTAATAAATCCATTAGTAAAATAACAAAAATACAGGAAAGTACTGTTTTTGTTTTATTATTATTATTATTATTATTTTGTCTTGGCTCATGGCTTTCTCCACACGCTAGAAATTAAATTATAACCCTTAGCACTCCTTTCCCACTGAGTTCTAAATACTCTCCCAAATTAAGTATCATTATGCTTATGTGTACGAGGATCTCGAGCTGCAGAGAACTCGGGTGGCAACAAGTCAGCAGGAGAGCCAAGAATAGAACTTAGATTTTCTGACTCTTCGTCCTGTGACCTTGCCACTGCTTCCACCACCTGCATTTAACATTCTTAGTGCTCTCCTTATGTTAGCTTTTGAAAATGCCATGAAGGCTGTAACTAAAACTCTCATTCTCTTCTTGCTCATGTCAGAGGTTTATAAAGTCGTTTCACTTTATTTTTTTTATCTTTAGAGTGGTGCACAAATCTTAAAAAAATTCTATGAGTAAAATATTAAACATTCTTTAATGTAAATAATAAAAACTTTTTTCTTCATGTGAAAATTATCTTGACATTGCAATTTTTAAAAGGCAATTTTATTTCTGAAGGGCAGAGAAGTTTAATTCCCAGTTTTCTAAATAATCTCTACAAAATACAGCAACAAACTCTCAAGAAATTCCTGCTCTTGATCATCTCAATCTCTTCCTCCTTCTTTGAAATCTGAAGCAAATACTTTCAGCTGCTCATAATAACTAAATAGGGCTTGAGGATTGTTCTGGTTTGGGGTTTTTTTTGGGTTGACTTTTTTTTTTTTTGCAAACACATGGATATTACAGATAATTCTTATTAAGTAGATACGACAAAATCAAAATTGAACATACAGATTCCAAACATCAGAAAACACTCACAGATTTTAGAAAAGACTGTACTGAAACATTTTGGCATGGCTTGTTCCACAATAGATCAATTTGATTAAAAAAAAAAAAATACAGAATTTGCATTCAAGGATTATAACAGATGGAATGCAGACTTCAGGTCTGAGCTGAGAACCATAAGCAATTTGAAATGCTAGCAAAGACTCCAGCGCATTCTGCAATGAGGAGCTAGAATTAAGGTTCCTTTCTGAAAAGCAGAACACTAACAGTCATTAAATTAATCTGGTCCCTAGGTGTCCTCCTACTTGGCATCTGCCTATTTTAGTGACAAACTGAATCTAATTACTTTTCAATTTCTAAAGCAGTCAGTGCATGCTTAAACAGAACAAGCTGTTTTCTACTCCAACTTTAGGAACCAGCAGACCCAATGAAATTGGAGTTGTTTCTGCTCTCATTCACATCACGCAGCCCTACACATGAAAACCTGTGCATACGTTCAAGGCTGTGTGGATGGACAGGTGATAAATGAAAGCATAATGTCCAAAGAATCCATAGCAGTGGTGGTGCTTAGGACAGCTGACTTTCAGGTTCCATTTATTAGACTGTACCTCCAATCTCACTCGTCTCAGAGCCCATTTGCTGGCAGACCACCACCAGCACATGGTACGACACACCCCACCTACATCAGCATCTCCATGACTTATAACACACTGAAGCACCAGAGGCTGATCTGCAGACAGACTGCCACCCAAACTGCTCCCAGCCAGCTCCCACAGTGGGGCTGTGGTTAGCACAGATGCCCTGTATTTGTCAGTGGAGGAACAGAGGCACTTCCAGCTGATAGTTTAGCTTTCCGAGCAGACAGACATCACCTGGTGGCAGGTCAGGGCAATCCTCCCAGACAACACAGACCTATGGGTACCTCTGTCTCCCAGTGAGCCCCCAGTCTGAGCTAAAAAAAAAAAACCACCAGCAACCTTCTTTTTACCATTTCAGACCAAAGGAGAAAACAAAGCTGCAATTCTGGAGAATCACAGAAGTATAGAATGGCCTGCGTTGAAAAGGACCGTAAAGATCATCCAGCTTCAATCCCCTTTGCCATAGGCAGGGTCACGAGCCACTAGACCAGGCTGCCCAGAGCCACATCCAGCCTGGATGTGAATGTAGAATTTATTTATTTTTTTTTCATATAATGTGAAATCTGCTACCCAAGTAGCAAGATACCTTTTGGAAAACACCTCTGTTCCCAGAGAGTATTCCAAATATTCCCTCACACACATAGTATGATTCATTCAGCTCCTTCTTTACCAAATAGCTTGTCTAGGTCACCAACAGTCTGCTAGTTCCCCTCAAGAGCTCCTGCCGTTCTTTCCCTGTTTAATTATACAACAAAACTTGGCAATGTGAGGGTTCCTCCCATCAGCGCACACCTCACGCGCAGTGCTGGGACAAAGCATGATTTGGCTGTGTACCCAGCAGCACAGACTCACTGCCTTCAGTATCTTACTGCACCCTCAGGCGTGGATGCAGGGTGCTGGGGGAAGGCAGTGGTCGTGCAGGAGCAGGGCTGGGCCCCGCCACCAACAGCTCAGCACTGCCACAGGGACCTGGGCATCTGCCTCGTAGAGAAATATACTCCGCGTTCGACTGATGGATGACAACAAGCTGGGGCCCATGCCTCAGCACTCTCCATGTCAGAAGTTTTCTTGTCATCTTTCCCTTTTGCTTTGCTTTGTTTTTATACAGGTTCCAGCTGGAAACAGCACTACTCACAGCATAAACACAGGGCTTTGGGTACATTCTCCAATTAAGTTAGTATTTAATATATTTTTAACTATATTTCTGTAATTTTTAAAGAAAAATCTTTAGTGGCAATTAGCTTATTTCAGAAAATGCTATTCTGATTTAGGATGAACAATTTTAATGTACTATCAATAAAACAAGCAAAGGAAAGTTTCTGTAAGATTAAATATACATAATCTAGTGCTGCTTTTTATATTATATTTGCATAGCAAGTTGTTGGACTCTATATGTTCTTTGAAGATGTCCAAAATGCAGCACTTTGGTAAACACTGACCAACACAACTGACTGTGAAATAATCTTCCATATTACCTCTCAGTGTCCTAACCGATCTTTAAAAGTTGTTTAGTTATTGCTCTCCTCAGTGTTAAAGCCCAGGTAATTTATGAGCTTTATCACGCTTTATACACAAAATCTCAATGCCTATAAGAATAAAGAACAAAACATTTTAGCATATGAATAATAAGAATAAATATGTCTAAGCAAGAAACACAGAATACAATTCCATCAAATACTTCAGCTTGGAAACGTCTTGCATGGAAATTCTTAAAATTTACATTCTGCTACATGAGATTTCTCTAAAATTGTTTTTATGGAATGTAGAAAAACATTGATTTCTAGCTTAAATCAGAATAATTTTTTTTAAAGTGAAATGTCTTCTGACAGGAAGTCACTGAGTAATCAACACCAGCCTGAGAGTACAATTATGTAGAAGAAAAAGTACAGCTCTAATTGTATTATAGATAGATGTCTATGTGAAACGTAACACAACCACAATACTCTGAAAAAATATTCTGTTCTCTGTTTAAGCAGAAATAGTTAATGAAGTCATCAACTAAAACAAAATATTTGCACTAGAAAAGCAGTACACTTTAAAAATGTTGTTAGGATTGAGGACTGGCTTTGGTTGGTTATTTAACTAAACTTGCTGATTCACTGGGGTCAGCTGAGAGCGAGTTTTCATCGTTGTAACTGGGTCACTTTCTGACATAATAAATTCAAGGTTAATTCATTTCAAATAAAATTTTAAAATGTATTAAAAGCAACCAGCAAAACACAAAGAAAGCACACTTCAGAGACCAGAAAGTAGTTCTTTTAAGATTTTGAATATAAGTAAAATAATTGTAAAAAGTAGAAGAGAAAGGGAAAAAAAGAAAGAAACAGTGTTATAAGATTAAAACCTACCTACCACAGGCACTCAGGAGAAAAAACAGAGACAGAGCTCTGAGAAGTCAGAGAGATGACAGGCATGAAAAACAAATACGAAGAGCCACAGCTAGAAAGGAGAAACGAAATGCACAAATGCAACTCGGGATAACTGGCTAAGTGGCAGAACAGCAGAAAAGGATATGTGCATTAGAGTAGGTCATAAACTAAATATAACCCCAGGATTGAAGTTATTCGAAAGAGGTTGAATTTGAATCTAGGTTATTTTAAAGAAGTGCTGAGTGTGAAAAACAGGAGGTCATTATAGTGCTCTGGAGGGCGTTAGGAGAGATGTGACAATCCAACACTGAACACGACTCTTCTGGGAATCTCAAAGAGAACAACAAAACATAAGGGGACTCCTGGAGAGGAGCTGAGGAAATAGAATTTCAGTACTAGGAAAAGAAGGGCCAAGCATGGATGGCACTATAATTTTTTTATTTTTTTTTTTAAAGGAACAGAAGGCCACCGCTCTCCCCACTGCAAAGAACAAGGGCAAAGAGAAACCTGTGCAGTTTCAGCAAAGATTAATGAAAACACCTCTGGTTATTAGGGAGGTGAAACACTACAAGGGGATAACTGAAGAGATCTGGAACCTCCTTCACTGGCTGGACAAATGTATGGATTGCCACAACTGGGATGCTGCAGAAGTTGCAATACATGCCATTCCAGGTGTGCTGGAGGGTTCTGCATCTCCGTGTTTTTCTTTTTTGAGTAATATGCAAATTTATACATGTCACACTGACATCAAGATCTGTGTCATGGAATGATGAGAATTACAGCCCTGGTGCTACTGCCACTGAGGATCCAGCTGAAGGACTGTGTGACGTGAGAGAGGCTGTAATCACAGTCATACCGATTTATGCCAAACCCCTACCTGCTCCTACGTTCTCTGAAAAACAAAAGTATACTTCAAATGAATGAATTAACCTGTAAGTGTATGTCATTGATACAATTGCTCCCAAGTTAAAGAAATGCCCAGACAAATTTTGTGTGCAAACTGGGTCAAGAGAAGCCATATTTGACTCCAACTCATCACTAATGCAAATCTTATTAAACGACTTGCATTTTTGCTTATAACAGCACTGAATTTAGCCTATAAAATATGAACAGAAAAATCACACAGTCATGTATAGAGAAGTCACCTCTTGTGTAAAGCGTCTTTTCTTCACACTGGGTAAGACATCTTGCTGGCTCCCTGAACCATCACAACCAAGTGAGGTCTGTTTCCGTTTGTTGGAATCCTGTAGGCAAGTAACTGCGCCATCCACTGAGTGTTTCTCAGAAGATCTGGATGTTACCGAGCAGTCTAGAGCTTCATCTTCATTTTCTGTTTCTACTTTCACAATATTTTTTTTAGGAATTTTTACTGGAAAAAGAGAAGGTTTAGAAAGATAAAGCACTCTCTCCGGAAAACCATGACAGCCTTAATACAATCTTTCGTGTTTTGTTTCTTTTTATGAAAATGTGTTTTGAAGAACATCATAATTTTTTTTTTTATTTTTTATTTTTTTTTGACTTGCACAATAAGTGTATGCTGAGGCCACCCCAAAGTCAAGGTTTTATTATGCTAGGAACCATACAGTCATCCAGTAAACGACAGTTTCTTCCCCGAAGAAGAGTTTTAAAGCATAAACAAAGTTACAGTAGGAAGATTTTTCTGGAGGGGAAGGAAGGATGCAGAGCAGAAAATACAATGAATAACAAAGACAATGGTGCATTTTAGATAGCTTTTCAGAAACTGTTAATGTAGTTTGTCCTGATCCAAGCGCGTTCTTTATCAGATTACAAAGCTTCATTTCAACAAGTATTTTTGCCTGAGCAGAAATTACACAACGTATGATTTTTTACCTTCATCGTCATCAGTGATTTCAGCTGAGTTCATCTTCTATTTCACTAAGGAGCAAAACAAAAACACAGATATCAGCATCTTCTGGAAACAAGACACACCTACACGTGTTTTTGTGATTACTTTTACTGTACCGCCATTGTGCATTACCAGCCCGCGGACAATTTCCAACCTCTATTTTTGGAGTCACCAGCTATTTTCAATAAATTTCACAACCTGTAGACCTGTAAACACACAACCTATACTGCAGACGACATACAGGAGCAGGAACGTATTGAAAATGACACACCTTTTTTCTGGTACAAAGCAAAGTGGAAGTCACTTCACTCGTATTTATGAAGTCTCTTGTCAGTACAGAAATGAAAGTTAACTGCAGTCAGTTCTCTCAGCCTGTTGCCACATCTTAACACGGTCAAATGCTTTTATGTTGTTGTTCTGTGTGACCCTGAGTCACAGAATGGAAACTCACCATAAAACAGAACACATGTATGTTGGAGTAAGTTTTCAATTACAAATCCTTGATCTCTTGTTGTGGATTGCATAAATTGGAATAGAGAATCTGCAGACCTGCAATAACTACTTTTCTTCCTACTGCAAAACAATAGCCTCTAATAATGTAAGAATGTTGCTGGGTTTCTTTGTAAGGATAAACAAATAATCCACACTATTCTAACATAATTTCAGCATTATTTCCCATATCATAGAACAGCTTGGGTAGGAAGGGACGTTACAGATCATATAGAAGACTCAGCTGTATTTCTGTCTCCTTAGGAACTAATTTGGCAAATCACTTGGGATAAGCATCAGTCTGTGGATGTGTTCCTGAAAGATACTCTAAAGCCTTTGGAGATCTACAAAGCAAACAACCTAATCAGATCTCACTGCCCTTAGGAGGCACACAGCTGCAACCTGACTCCCTTAACTTGTAAACCAGTGACTGAAGAGCTGTCACACATCTCTCATGATCACCTACTGTAGCCTCATGTTTAATTGGCCGCAGATTATAATTACGTTTTCCACAGTCAGACTCCTTTTTAATATGGCTGTCTTTCAACCTTTCCTGCAGATCCCTTAACTGAGGGAGCAAGTGAATAAAGCAAACAGCCCATCAAAAGCTTACATATAGCCCATGAGAGGGAATTATAAAGAAATCTAAAAAGAAACTGGAGTGGGGAGGGACAAGAGTCTGCTTTAGAACAAAAAATAATCTTTACCTTACTTTCAAAGCACTGAAGCTTTTTTTTTCCTTAAATAATCTCACAATATTGTTAAAAAAATTGTGCAAACACTTGAATATTGCACCACCAGGCATTTCTGTCACCAACTGATGGCTGTTAATGGTAAGCACGGGATCACACTCAGAAAGTTTCGTACGACTGTAAAGCAATGGGTGGCACACACACATCCAAACAAAAGATGCACGGAGTTATAATCTGCTCATCCTAGGCAACTTCTTAAGCATAGCATCTTCTGACACACTCGTCCTGAGCATGGCCCTTGTATGCAGCCCTGTAGAAAGCATCCTTAAGAAGAGAATGTCTTCATCTCATCACCAGAAAAACATATGCCTCACTTATACAGAGCTACACTACAAACCCTTCAGCTAGCGGCTGCTCTTACCATAATTTCAGAATTTGTGTTTGAGCTGATCCACACACAACTCACACCAGCTTAACGGTACTAAAACCACTGTGCTTACACTTCAGCAAACTGCAGAGACAAAACAGCACGAAATACACGTGACCCACACCACCTGCTAAACCACCTGGTAAGAACCAGTGAGGATTAATACCCAGTCTTAACAACAGCATTTGTGAAATCAGACAGCCACTACAGTTCCTTATGAAAAATCCTAAGACAGCATACTTAATATTACTGTACTTCACCAGAAAGCCATGTGGGACTTGAAGAAGAGCACATCATACTAAGCATCTGTATTTGCCCCAATGTCTCAGATACATTGACATTCAGCTTCCAGACCTTTCTTCTACCTTAGTTCACAGCAATAGGCTTAGCTTTAAGGAACATGAGCTGTGACACACAGAGCGTTTTTGTCAGGGCCAGAGGTGAGAGCAAGCAAACACACTGATAGCACTGCAGCAGAGCATTCTGTAACGGAAATCAAAGTGTTAGAGCTCCCCATCCCAATCCTGGACCGCTCTGTTAGAGCAGAGCACTAACAGCTGGTATGCTGGTAAACACAGAGCCAGGACAAAAGAACGTAAAGGCAGTGCTGGGAGGAATGATGCAACATATTGAGAGGATATACAGAATGATTTTTTTCTTCTAACTGTGACTATAATTGCTATTCAAACAGGAGACCGTGTTAGGAGAACTTCTCTAGGAAAATACTAGCAAATTGCATGTAGAAGATAAACAAGAATCTGAATGATGGCTATTTAAACCTGGAAAAGAAGTAAAAACTGAATCAAAGCACACACCCTGGTTAACAGTTAACTTTCTAAACATCAAGCAGGCCAAGCAATCCCCAGTTCGGGTCAAACGTTGAGTCTGAACATTTTGTCCCACGCGTTCGAAACACAGTGCTGTAACTTAGTTTTAAATTACCTTTTGATCTGAAAATTGCCAGAATACAATTAGAAGCAGATAGTAAAAAGAACATCAGACTCAATGACTAGACTTTTGTTTGGGCTCTCGGATATCTAACAAAGCATGAGCTCCAAACTGTTCCTTCTTGGGAGTCCTAGTAATCTCTCTCTCCTTATCTGGTTTCCTCTGTTACGATATTTGTAAAAACATGGGCATTACGAGAAAATTAACCACAGACAGCAGCTTCTATTGAGAGTGAGGAGTCAGCTGCCCCTGTAATTTCCTGCCACACAGCCCCACCTGCTTCCCGTCAGGCATGGCTGCTCACCTCATCCTCCACTGAGCTTCTTCAGCTTGATAAACTAACATAAAACAATTCACTTCTTTTTTTTTTTGATGGGTTGCTTTTCTTCTAATCCAGAGAGACAGTGGGTAAGGCAAGCAACCAGACCTGGCTCCAAGCACACGTCAGGTCTGGAATGGGAAGGAGGAGCAGAAACCTCTCTGACACCAACACGTCACTGGCACGGTTCAACTACTCCACACCACCACCTCACTTCAAATGTAGGTTGCAGCTGAACCGTGAGCAAGGGGTGTGAAGACAGCAAGTAATGCAGAACTGCTGCTACAGGCCAGGAGGCCACATGGGGCAGGTCCATGTGCAGGTACGTGTGCCTGCCCAGGTATGGCTAGCATCAGTCTGGCTGGGTGCTTCACGTTCTCTGCAATGCAGTTTGCAGAGTGTACGGGAATAACAATTATTTCTTTGATAGAAAAGGCATCATTCTGGTCCAGACTGTGCAAATATAAAGGCTGGAGAAGAAAAGAGGAACATGGGATGCAACAAGTGCAAAAAGTTATCATGAAAGAAAATCTTTCCTATCTAAACTGTTTTGATAGCTCTTATACATAGCTGCAGAGATGCTTGTACCAAGCACAAGTGGGTGTCATGAACCTGTACAATTTCAGCTCTCACCTTGGAAGACGTAACCACTCCTTTCAGCTCAGTCCTCTAGACTTTTGAAACAGTTAAAAAAGATGAACCTTAGAGGACTCTTCTTAAGGTAGTGACAGCTTTGTTTCTAAGAAACGTGAATAATATCTCAATTAGCAATCAGATAAAGACAAAACTATTCATTTCATCCTAATACACGGATGAGCTTATTTGCAGAGAACTGATTCAAGATGCAGCATCATGCACTCCTGCTGCAAGTTCAAGCTACTTCAAACAAATAAACATACATTACACTCAAACTCTAGACATTAATCTAAGCATTTTATATGCAATCTCGAGACTTGCACCAAGATCCAGAAATCCCACTCAGCTACCCGAATCACAGAACGGCCCACGTTCGAAGGGATCTCAATGATCATGAAGCTCCAACTCCCCTGCCACAGGCAAAGCCCCCAACCTCCCCATTTAATACTAGACCAGGATGCCCAGGGCCCCACCCAACCTGGCCTTGAACACCTCTAGGGACATGGCATCCACAGCCTCCCTGGGCGGCCTGTTCCAGCACCTCACCACTCTCACAGTAAAGAACTTGCTTCTGACATCCAACCTAAATTTTCCCTCCTCCTTACAGCTTCTAGACATCAAGTTTCTGGTGGAGCACATACACAAAACCCTAAGAGTCCTGCATGAGGAATTACTCTGCTCAGATTCAATAGAAAGACTTCGGTGCTTCAGCACTCTCACGGAGGGCAGCCACAAATGAGCACAAGGCATTTCACTTAACAGTGGTACAATGGTTAAAGAGGTATTCAGGAAATTTTTTATTTTCCCGCTATTGATTTCACACTGGAGACAATACTCAGGTCCCCAGATCCCAGACAACTGGCCTCATCACCAGGTGATGGACACACAGGAGGGCAGGCTGCAAGGCAAGCTTGGGCATGAGGAAGTAAACAAAGAAGGGAGTGTCCCAGGGTTCCTTGGCTGCCACTACTGGCCACATCTCCCTCCCACAGACCCTGTCCTCATCAGATCTCATCAGATTAGCCAAGGGAAAGGGACAATTCAATAAAGGAAAAGAACTTTATCTAATTTCACTCACATCACTTAGGCACATGACTCCATTTAGTAACATCCAACTGATAACACAGAATTACAGAATCATAGTAGTTGGAAGGGACCACTGGAGATCATCTAGGCTGACCCCTGCTAAAGCTGCAACCTACAGCAACTTGCAGAAAAAAAGTGTCCAGGCAAGTTTTTAAATATCTCCATAGAAGATTTCTCTGGGCAGCTTATTCCAGTGCTCCATCACTCTCAAAGTTTTTCCTCATGTTCATATGGAACTTTCTCTATTCCAGTTTGTGCCCACTGCCCCTGGTCACTTGGCATCAACGAAAGGAGCCTGACCCTACCTATTTGGAGCCCTTCCTTTAGATATTTATAATCATTGATAAGATCCCCTCTCAGTCTTCTCCAGGCTGAGCAGTCCCATGCCACTCAGCCTTTCCTCACAAGCAAGATGCTCCAAGCCCCTCATCATCTTTGTAGCCTTTCCTGGACTCTCTCCCCGCTCTCTCTTTCCTGGGCTCCTGTACACACTCCACCAGATGCAGCCTCACCAGGGCAGAGTAGAGGAAGAGGATCACCTCCCTCGACCTCCAGGATCCCATTGGCCTTCCTGGCCACCAGGGCACACTGCTGGCTCATGGCCAACCTGTTATCCACCGGCACCCAGGTCTTTCTCTGCAGAGCTCCTTTCCAGCAGATCAGCCTCTAACCTGTACAGATGCATGCAGCTGGTCCTCTCCATTTGTAGGACTCTATACTTGCCTTCGTCAAGCTTCATCAGGTTCCTTTCTGCCCATCTCTCCAGCCTGTCTAGGTCTCACTGAATGGCAGCACAGCCTTCTGGTGTGTCAGCCACCACTCGCAGCTTCGTATCATCAGCAAACTTGCTGAGAGTGAACTCCATCCCTTCATCCAGGTCACTGATGAGGACATCAAACAATACCTGACCCAGCACTGGCCTCTGGAGAACACCATGAGCTACATGTCTCTAAACAGATTTTGCACTGCTGATCACAGCCCTCTGAGCTCAGCCACCTCACCGTCCATTCATCTACCCCATGTATCCCATCTACCATAGAGGGCTACCTGATTGGTCAAACATCATTTCCTCTTTGGGAGCCCATGCTCACTATTCCTAATAACCATCTCTTGGAGATGACATCCAGAATAAGCTGTTCCCTTCCCAGGGATGGAGGAGAAGCTGACAGGCCAATACCCATTGCTAACAGAGAAGCTCAACACTTAGCTCAAAGCTGCAAATTTGAGATAATGGAATAATGACTTAAAAAAAAAAAAAGTTTTGGAATGTTAATGCTTGCCTGTCCTTTTAGAGGTAACTACTGCCCTGAAGCTGCTGTTGCAAATAGAGCTAAAAACATCATCGATGTGTCAAAATTGTGCCTACTTGAAATACGCACAAAAGCCTTCAGGATTAAGAGCACATAGGTAGAAAAAAAACGTATGAACACAACATAAGCCTAACCTCCTCCTATTTATACCTAACAATTACTGATTTGTTGGCTTCATAGTATTATTTTTTTTTCTGTCTCATGTTTACAACCCTTACAAAAACCACAATGCAAAGAGAAAAGACCTCGCTGGTAATAGAAGACCAAGCCAATTCTCCGCCCTTGCAATCGCTCTTAAAGAAAGCCAGATTGATCACCCCTAAGTTCTGACTTAAAAAAAATGCTGTTGTTCAATCATTTATAACTAAAAAACAACTTATTACTCATTAAACATCCATACACAATCAAAGCCCTGACAACTGGGGGGAAAAAAAGCATAAAAACCATGACAGACAGTACAAAAGTGCAGAGATACTGCATATAATTCTGATTTTATAACACATTTTTAAAAAAATATGATTACAAATTAAAATGATTATCTTAACTAATATAATAATTACTGTTTCCAGTTTCATAGAAGTTAGTTGTTCACTAATTCAATCGTTTGCAAAACATTGCGTTGTTCAGTTCTGTATTGCATGGCCAGTGCGTAGATGCTGCTTCTCAAAGCACACAATCCTACTAAATATATTAATAGCTCCACGTAGGTTGGACACCGAGCCTTGGAGATGTAGGTCTACAAGGCTTCATTATTGATACGTTACCAATAAAATAACATCATTTTTTTTAGACATTGTGTATTATGAGATGTTTATTCCTTCTAATGCCTCATGGTGGTACATTGCTTCGTGCATAAAAGTCACAGGCTTTAATGAGAACTACTTGAGTTTTGTTTACATCCGAAGAGGTGAACTGTTATTTACATTTTGGTCAAAAGATAGGACAGGTGTTTGCTAGTCACATTAAGAATGTTTAAAAGCCTATTTAAATAATTTGTTCAACTCCCTTGCTTTCAGCATGCAGTGAAAGATGTAACACTAGCTAAGGAGCTGATATTGTAAGGAGGTAACATTGGCTACATTTTACAAGACCAGTGCACAGAATTGCTGTTATTTAACAGAGAAAAAGCAGCTGGCCTAGCTACAACAGCACTTAATCAAGTCAGTGCTACATACAGTGTGGTTTATCCAAAGCCAACCAAGGACGGTTTATTAATTAAGAGACTTCTCAGACAATAAAGGGTCTGAGGTCCTGCTCCCTGTCTCTGTTCCCTGTCTCTGGGTCTGCACTTCTCATAAAGCATGCGTTGGATAAAGCAATGCAAAAACTCACGCACACATACACACGAGTCCAAAGGAGTGCCACAAAGGTTTTGAAGGGGCTGGAGAAGCTGCTGCAAGAGGAAAAGACTGAAGGAGTTTTAGGCCCTTTTGAGCTGGGGAACAGAAGGCTCAGGGGGGCATCCCAGTAACTTAACAGGTGGCCACAAAGAAGACAGAAGATCTCCTTTCACAAGGAGCCGCGCGGAGAGGATGAGGGGCAACGGATACAAGCTGTACCAGGAGAGGTTTCACCTTGATGTAAGAAAGAAATGTTTCACAGTGAGAACAACTGATCTCTGGAACAAGCTCCTAAGGGCCGTGGTAGAGTCCCCATCACTGGGGCTTTTCAAGACAGGTAGATGGCGCTGGATCATCTCACCTAGGCTCCCTTTTCCAAGGAAGGCTGGGCCTGCTGAACTTCTGAGATCCTTTCCAATCGGGGCTGTTCTGATCCTCCCTCGGAGAAGTTCCGCAAGCTAGGAAGCAGCTGGCTGGATGCAGTTCCATCCAGCTCATTGTGGTTCTAACTACCCCGGTAACGGTGAACACACAGTCCTTTGTAATGTCTCAGAAGGATGAGGTTAGAGTAGCTCTCTGAGAGGACAAGGAAGCCTCACCTCTTGTTCAGGTGACCCAGCAGCTGCCTCCCACTCAGGCACATTGCTCACCAAGCAACTGCTGGGCAGCTCTTCTGCTGGAGCAACCCTACAGACCTCTGGCTTTGGCCACGTCATTCAGGTCTTTCTCTTCCTGCCTGCAGCACTGGGTTCAATGTGAAAGTGTCTATGTGCTACAACTATTCTTGGCGTGCATTTTATTCTTCCAGTTTATAAAACAAACAAACAAAACAACACCATTCAAACTCAGTTTAACAGAATTACATGGAAACACCACTCCAAAAATTTTTCAGCGCTTGGTTTCTGTTCAACAGGTCAGCAATTTGAGTTTAAACAAGACAGAAATTTCTCAACACCTTTTCAAACAACACAACAACACAAGTATTTTACTCCAGGCTTTTTGGCATTTTCATTAATATTTTAATTTCCTCTTTAAGTATTCTCTTGTTATTGAAAACCTCATCACCACACTCATTTGCATGTTATGGAGAATAAGCAAATAGCTGCAGCTCGCTGCCAGTACACACCGCTACCTCAAACATCTGCATTAATCATGTTAAAAGTTACATCTAAAACCACCATCACAGACAGAAAGCAGAAAGAAAGACAGATAAAGGACTCTGAATTTCTCACTCTGAGCTGCACTTTGCATACGTTCAGTCCGTTTTCCTTATAAATTACTGCATTTTTCTCAAGAGAATTGTGGAAAAGCACGGGAAGTCACTCGAGCAGCAGGTTCAAGAAACAACTCCAATGCCCAAAGCCACGTGAACTGAAAATGCTTATTATTTCACAGAATTACAGGGCCGTGGGGGTGGGAAGGGCCCTCTGGGGATCACACAGCTCAACCCCCTGGATGCTGGAGCAGTATCCCAACAGGCTCCTATGAAACAGGACTCTTACATCTGTTATCCAAACGAGCAAAATGCAAACGGGGAATCTGGGAGCGTACTTGAAGCAGATGTTTTCTATTCCAGCAATTTGGTGACAGCAGGGTGCTGCCGGTGACCCCAGAATGGAGATTCGGAATACAATTTATTATTGGTGCCCAGTACTCAAAAACAGTATTCCAACAACATGAACGCGCTACAACCACAACTGCACGTATCGCAAGTTTAAAAACCACAAAAAGGACAATATTAAGAGAAGCTTTACCCTTAACGGGCAATACAACCCCCCGGGCCGAGGACAGATCGGAAACCTCCTTCGCCACCGGGCGCGGGAGGACGGGATGCTCAACCTGCAGCGGGGCAAGGCGCCAGCAGGCCCCTCTCGGCACGTCCGATCCGACCCCTCGCCGAAGGCACGGGGACGGCCCCCCACCCGCCGGGGTCCGCTCCGTTCCCCGCGGCCGCCCCCAGCCCGCCCGGTTCCCGGCCGGTGCCTCCGCGGTGCCGGCGGGGAGGCGGCGGCCGCCACGTGGGAGCGGCGCGGCCCCGCCCCGAGGCGGAGGCTGCGGCGAGGCCGCCCCGCACACCCCGCACGCGGCGGCCGCGGCCGCTTCCGCGGTCAGACCCGCGAGCCCGGGCTGCGGCGGCGGTTGGCGCTTCCGGTCCGAACCCTGCCCGGGCGGATCTATGTGGCCGGTGCGCGCGGGGGGGGGTGCGGAGGGAGAAGCGAGGTGAGGGCGGAGGCGACGGCGGAGCGGCCGCCTCGCTCTCCTTCCTCCAGCCCGGCGCTCCCCGCAGCGCGGCGCGGATGGAGGCGGCCCGACCGGGCGCCGTGCGCCAAAGCGCCGTGGCGAGCGGCGAACAAAGAACCCCCGCCCGCCGCGCTCCGTGCGGGGAGCGGGGCCCGGCCGCGGCGGGGCGAGGGGCCGCCTCACTCCCCCCTCCACCGGGCCTCCCGCCGTCCCCTCCCCGCTCCCCCTATCCCCCTTCCCGCCCGGCTGCGGCGGCGGCACTTACCGAGGCGCGGCGAGGGGGCGCGGGGGCCCCGGGACGGCGGGGGCGGCTGGAGCGGCCGCCGCTGGTGCCCGCCTCTCCCCCCCGCTCTTTGTGTGCGAGGGTCCGCGCGCTGCGCTCTCGCGTGACGTGACGGGACCGTGTGTCATTTCCGCACAAGGACACCGAGCCCCGAGCCGCCGCGGCCAGCGCCACCCGCCGCCCCGGGGCAGGGGCAGAGGCGGGGGGGGGGGCGGGTATGGGGGGGGGCGGGGAGAAGCGGGCCTCTCTTCCCCAGTCCGCCCCCGCCCGCCCCGCCGGGGGCACGCGCCGCTCCCACCGGAGACCCCGCGCGCGGCCCCGCCACGCGCGCGCCCGCCGCCCGCCCGCGAGACCCGGCCGCACGTGGGCTGGCGCCGAGCACGTGGCCGCGGGGCGCCGCGCGCCGCCGTCGGGCGCCGTTATCGCGCCCTCCTCCCTCTCTCCCTCGTTCGCTCCCTCGGCCGTCGCCTCGTGGCCGCCCCACGCGGGGCTCCGCGGCGGGCAGGGGGCCCTGAGGTGATCCACGCAGCTCCGTGCGGGAGGAAAGAACCGGCGCGGGGCCGGGGCCGGCTGCACGGAGCTGTGAAACGGGAAGTGCTCTCTGCTTTGATGAGTATCCGTGTCGATGTTGTCTGTTTTGACAGCAACGTGTGGAACGTCAGTTCGACGAATCCTGCGCTTTCCTCTCAGAGCTTGTGGGAAAGCCCCAAAGACGAAACCGTACATCAACGTGAGGAGGACGGCCCCGTCGGGCGGGCTCTGACCGGCTGCGCCGCGGTACGCAGCGACCCAAAGCGGGAGCGCTCCGAGCCCCGCGCGCAGATCCCGTGCACACGGCGGGCGCTCGCACTGCGCCGTCATTGTTTCACTTCTCCCGCAGCCGAAGGAACCGAGTCTCGTGTTACCGCGTTAAATGCAGTGTCAAGCAGTTGGGAAATGACTTTCCAGGAACGAAACCTCTCTGATAACCCGCTGCCCCACGAGTACTTCAGCCCTCCTCTAGGTACTCCCGATTTCCCTAGGACTGAGCGATACAAAGAGTGAAGCTTTAAAAAGTTTGTGATCTGAGGTGCTGCCTTTAGGAAAATTTCTGTCTTCCGTTTGTGTGGCTCCTCTGAGTTTGGACTTTAGGGTTTGGGACATCCTCGCAGCGCCACAGTGGCTGCATGCTGCTCGCAGACAATGCTTTGCTGACTTAACGTTGGCTGCTCTTTTTGTTCTTATTAAGGGACGGCTCTTACAGCAGCCCTTCCCAGCAAAGCTGCCAGCTTCCAGACTGCTCCGACGGAGCACTTAACGAGGACACCATTTATTAACGAGACAAGAATCTACAGCCAGCAATTCATTGACCCTTTAGCGATAAGGGCACTTCCCAATAACTTTTCTGGGTCTGTTAGCACTACGAAGGTGAAATTTCCAGCGTGATTTGTCCTCTGCCTTGTTCACAGAGCTAACTGAAGGTGTCCCTAAAGGGAACAATGCTTTAGCACCTGGCCCAGCTGCTGAGTAGTGCTGTGTCCCACTTGGATTTCGCTTGAGTCCTTTAGTTAGTGGAGTTGAGCAGAGGCAACCGTAAGGCAGGAGCATGCCAGTGGAATCCCAAACTCCATTTCAGAGCCCTTGAGATCACACTCGCCAGTCTGAACTCCGCCTCCTTTCTGCTCTGCGGCGCTGGCCCGAGGCACTGCAGCTACCAGGGACCCAAGCCCAGGAGGAGACCTGAAGGGCCTCAGTTAAGCATAAAGAAACACAGCATATTGCTGCCATAACAGCACTCACTGAGAGGGGAGCAGGCTGAGCTGTCTCCAGGCAATGCAGAGAGCAGAGTAGATTGTCTTCCTGGCCAGATAGCTTGCAGTTCCTTCACCATTTGAACTTGTGATGAACAACTCATTTATTCAAATGTTCATTTATTTCCCTTCATGCCTTTGGCTCAAAAGCCACTCTGTGACATTGCAGCAATCTCTGGAAAATTCTGCTGGGAAGAGAAGCTCTGGTACTCCAACATGAGCACTCTTCAGGAAAAAAATCATCATCACTCCTGAGTGCAAACAGTGCCCCATCGCTCACCCTGCCAAGCTGAAACAAGATTTCAGCCATCAACATCAACCAAAATGTGAAAGCTGCCAAAACTGATTGTCTTTCACAGAATCATAGAATGGTTTGGGTTGGAAGGGCCCTTAAAGACCATTGAGCTCTAACCCTAACTGCCATGGGCTGCTTACCATCCCCCAAGCTCAGCTGCCCAGGGCCCCATCCAACCTGGCCTTGAGTGCCTCTGGGAATGGAGCACCCCCAGCTTCTCTGGGCAGCTGTGCCAGTGCCTCATCACCATTGAGCAAAGAATTTCCTCCAAACATCTCACCTAAATCTGCAGTGTCGGACTGGCAGTGAGGGCACAGGTGGTGTCACCACTGCAGCAGGCATGAGTGAGGAGCTGGAGCAGCTCAGTGTGCTGAGGCCACAGCATGGTACAGTGACATGGAAAGAGAATGGCCATGAATGTAGAGCTCTCTGCTTCTAGTCGTGCACGTTTGGCATGAATGAAGACCCAAACCTCTGGCACGGCTCCTTTCTTGCAGACTGCTGCAATTCCCTGCAGCACTGGGGAGGCAGTGTTGTGGCATGTGATGTTGAAAGTGCTCTCAGTGCTAGTTATGGCAGTTTGGTTCAGGAAAATGTACCACTGTAGCACCAGTTAATCTCTTTTCTCCAGCACGCATCTTGAACCTAAGCCACACTGCAGCCAGACCCAAGAGCCAGAAAGCAGAAGAGAAACAGCCTTAGTGTGCAGAGTGAGTTCCTTCCAAGTCATATGCATTTTGCACAAGACCTTAAAGTGAAATCAAGTCCCATTCCTGTAGGAAGGCAAGCAGAGCCTCCTTTTGCCCTATGCCTGACTTCCTGTTGCCTGCAGGAGCAGGGCACACTCTGCTCAATGTGCAGGTGCACTGAGAGATGGAGCTGGAGGGCAATGCCTGGAGGATGGGGCCAGTGCTTGCTGCTGGAAGCCAGCACACTGCCAGGGCCAGGATTGCCCTCTAGTGCTTCCTGTAAGTGCATGGGTGAAATCAGGAGTTTGCACTGGCCTGCCAGAATTGGACAGGTGCATGAGAACATCCCGAAATAAAAATAAAACAAATCAGTCCAATTAACTCATTGAATCTACAGTAAAAGGTGGTCTGTGACTCAAAATTTATACAAGCCTGAAATATTCAATGGCAAATAAGGCAAGAGCATCTGTCACATGGTGGCCCACTTCACACTCCTCAGAACCTTTCACTGCCAGCCAAACTGATGGGACATCCATGGACAAATAGCATGTGCTTGCTTAGAGCCTGTGCCAGCCCACAGGCAGCAATGCTGAACAAGTAATGTGCTGCAGGTTCTATCCAGACCGTGCTGCAACCTAGGGGTGGAGGAACTGCAGAAGACACCCAAGCTTCTTTTCTACTTGCAAACTTTCCATGGGTGCAAGCAGTGCTGGGGGGCTCTGCCTGTGACATTCTGCACTGATTGGGAAGTAGTGGCTTGGAGTGCCAGCTAATGTAAGTGCGAGTTTTCTTCTCAGAAACAAAATTAGTATGTGATACTTTTAAATTTTGTAGCAGCACTGCATCTTGTTCTTAAGTACGATGATAGCCACTGTTGGAAGCCAGACTTTGCAAATATGGGCAAATATATATATATATATATACATATAGTAGTATTGCTAGTTGAGGATGTCAAAATAGAGAATCCAAAATCATATCAAAACTGGAATGGAAGATGTGAGTAGGACAGAACAGTAACGGAGCATCAAGAATAGAGTAACTGAGTGAGCAACTGAAAATCTCCCTCTGTGCTGCAGCAGTTGATGCATACATCAGTTGCCTCCACAACTGTTTAAAAATTGATGCGTCTGAGCAATTTCCCTCTTGGAAGTGTAAGCCCCTTTTAACCTCTTGGCAATGAAATCGTTACATGCAGAAATAATGCTTTCGGCCTGTTGCGCAGTCTCATAGCTCATTAAGATATCTGCATTCAAAATATTTGTAGCAATAGGTAAAAAATAGTAATAATTTGGCAAGCAATGTAGAAAACGGGGTTTCACTGAGAGCTCATCTGTCTGATTTGCTGAGTAATTTTTTTTTTTTTTTGAGCAAAGACCTCTTTTTTTTTTTTTTTAATAAGTGAGAGGAGCAGCGTTCAGGTCACAGAAGTCTATGTGGAAGGAACCCTC